GACTGGATTTTTTCCATCTGCGCTCTGCTTTCCTGCATTCCCTTTTGAGGCTGCGAATGCTGTCATATATCCAGGGTTGCTTACTAGCTTTAGACGTAGGCCTAACCTTTAGAGGAGCAGTAATATTTAGTGACGACAAGCAGATATGATTGAAGTGATCGACCAGATTGTTGGTGTTGGAATCAGACAGGTGTTGGCTTTGGCTCTGAAAGAATGCGCAAAACTTTGAAACACTTTGTTCATTAAAGATGCGAGAACACACGGAGCTTGGTGAGGCGGCATGAGTAACAGGCGAATCGCAGCTAAAAACAATACATCTGTGGTCAGATATGGTCATGTCCACTAATTCCACAGAGGAAATGCTGACACCCAGGGTAAAAACCAAGTCCAGTGTATGACCACGGTTATGTGTTTGCCTTTTGACAAGTTAAAAGAAGTGGCCATATTTAAAAAGTCAGTTGCATTAACATTGTTGGGGTCATCAACATGCACAGTACAGAGATACTACCACTATTATGAAATAAAAATGAAATAAATTAAACACACTGAAGCTAAAATGAATGCCATATTAATGTCTTAGTAAGTAATATAAAACCTGAACAAGCCTACATTTGTAATGAATAATGACCACGAATGGTTTAGGAAATTGCCAGAGAAACTGTTAATTAGTTTAAACCTAGCAGGTGATTTCTACATTGTCTGTTTAAAACTGCCCAAGAGGAGTGGCATACGTATATTGCAAATATAGTATCATGTGGTATGTGGTATTCCTACTTTGTTGAAATGTGACTTTTGACTTGTTGACTTTTTTCGGTAATCAGAGCACTGGGAATGGGAGGAGAGTGATCTCAAAGCCACTGCAAAAACACACATACACACATTTGCCACTGGGGCCAGAAACACACACTCTGCTCAGACTTTTGAATAGATTAGTCTGTCACAATTGCAATACGAACAGACAGGATAAAACTGGGACATGGGATCACAGTGAGAGTACATCTCTCTCCCACTGCAAACAAACCTTTTCATCTATTCCAAAACCAATCATAAAGAGGTGATGATGATTTTGTAGACAGAGGATCCTAATTACTAATAAAGATAAAAGGAGAGATAAATCTCTCTCCCATGATTCATGGTGAAAACTGTGCACTAGACCAACCTGAAACTGATGAAACTAAGCTAACGGAGCCTCACTGACTGAAAAGGCTCTCCACAGTCCACTGTACTCGGGAACTACCAAGACCTGACCTTTGACCTGCGTTCCTACTTTCCTAGACAATTACAAGACCTGTTCTGATACTACGTCTTGGGGTGAAACCAGATGCCTGGTGCTTTGTTGTCCTGTTGCTTAATGTTTTGTTAGCTATTTTATACTGAACTGGATGTTTGTCGGTTTGCTCCCATTTTAATGATTAAGTGTTAAGTACACTAACAGATTCCCACAGGAGAAGCCAGAACTGATGATGACCACTCATACCTAATTCAAACCCCCCTCAACCTCCTCCGGCCAGTTCACTAAGGCAGGGCCTGGGACTGCATGTGGATATGAATGATATGGCACTGGTGGAAACATATGCTATATGTCCACTCCTCCCAAACATGTATAGTAATGCACACAGGTTGTCTCAACAAATCCGTTGTTAGGCAAAGATAGTCTGTCATCAACACCCTCACAGACAGTAACGCTCCATCACAGACTGTGGTTGGAGATGGTTGGATGTTTTTATTACAATCAACAGTCAAAGCTAGTGATGGTTAAATATAGAGGTAATAACAAAAAAAACTAATTGAATTCAATCTAGGGAATAAATATACCAAACTCATTATTATCCATTTCATTCCTGTGACAGGGCTACTAAACTGATGAGAAAAACATACACTTGGAAAAGCTTATCTGATGGGTCCATACAACAGCCTTTAATTAAAGCAAAGGTCTCAGACAAAAAAGTGGTTGTGCAAATAAAACATTTACACCTGTAGCTATCGTAGATGTCCCTGTTTTATCCCGCAGATTAATCTAGGAGACATTTTAGATACCACAGCATACATCAGTTATGGATGTGTGATACATGATATATCATAACCAAGGTTGTTCCTTTTTCAAGGATGAATCTTAAGTACAAATATGTTTGATCCCCTAGCTTGCTCATAACTCAACAATGTCTATATTCTGAAAAAATAGCTAACGCTAATTTCTATCTTTAACCTGTTCTTATTATTATCCTCGTTATATTAGTCTGTCCACATATGTAGGGTTTAGGTCAGAGCTGTGAGATTATTTTATTGTTTTCCTCTCGTCATTCCACTCCTCCCAAAACATAGAAACCTGGACTGTGTAAACCATTTTTCAATTTATTAATGACTAAAGTTAACTAAAGCAATATAAACTGGTGGTTAAATACAGGGAAAATAAACAATGGCAGAACAATGAGCAATGGAGTTTCGATTGTGGGAAGCATTTGACTCATACAGCAGAGGAGAACTAATGAAAGTAAGCTATGAGTTTAGGAGTTAAAAAGACATTATTAATACTATGGGACCTCCCTGACCACAGATGTTTTGTTTGGTCTTACTGCTTGTCGGCGGCCTGCTTTGGCCTGTTGCACGGGTCCCACGCTAGCTGCCCGATTTTGCTAGGGATTCTCCGGGGTTCTCCATGTCTGAAGAAAACGCCGTCCACCGTCTGGCAATTCGGCTGTTTTCAGGTTTCCTTCGTTGCCACTGTCGAGACCACGTGGCTTGGTCTGACCTCGGTGAAGTTGGCTCGACGAAAAAGCTTAAAATGTAACTTGGTCGTTCCTGAATTAGTCCAGTGTAAAGGACTGATAACTTTAACAAAACAAAAGAAAGAAAGAAAATAAAACAAACTGAGGGGCAGATCGATGTGGCGGTACTCCGCGTGTGTAGCTTCAAGCGAACAAAGGCCTGTTGTACTGGCCGAACTCTTAGCCGTTGCCCGGAGAGGCACGCCGGACGCGTGCCGAAGTGTCCAGAGAGCAGAGCGGAAGACCAGGGCACGAGGGGAGGAGAAGAACAGAGAGCGAACGACGTCGCGTGTCGCTCTTTTGTTGCCTGGGGCGTTTTTCCCAGTCTGTTGAAAGTTGATCTTTAACCCCTCTGCTCCTCTCTGGGAGAGGAAAAGAGAAATTTGGAGTAGCTCCAAATTTATTCAATATAAAATTCACAAATCCACACCGTTGTCCCACAACATATATCTTTTTTGTGCATGTAACAGGTTTGCAAAGTGAAAAAGCCCAAAGTCCAGCGCAAAGGGAGTTCCCATCTCCCACAGAAAGCTCTGCTCTGAACTGCCTGAAAACAGTTAGTTTGTAGTCCAGCCCTTCACTTCCTTTACTTGTGACGTCACAATGAAATAAAGCATAAAGCGGCTATCGGGGTCAGGCCAAGCTAGTCTGAGCGGAGGCCCTTTGGCTCGACTCGCCTTTGTTTGGTTTTCCATTGTAGAAATGTTGCACCTGTACCTGCTTCCAGGTACTTTTTTTTCATATCACCTCACCTCCATCGAGGTTCCAAGCAAGCTGAGAGATACTAAAATGTAAAGCAGGCCAGAAAGTTTTATATTTTACAGTTTTCGCATGGAATTTCATCACTAAATCCATTTCTGAGAAGTTTTGAGGTGAGAAATCAGCTGTGTTGATTTAGAATATTGACAATGTAAGTGGACGTTACTTTGCTTGTGTCACTAATATGAGTTAGTCACATCCGGGTAAAAGACGTGCCCAGGAACTGATATAAACAAGCTCAGTGGCTCCGCTCACGAGAGATACATCCACACTAGAGCAGGAAGCGTTTGCCGCATGCAATATGTTGTCTAAAGGAATGGCGAGGATTAAATGAAGTTTCCCAACCCTCTGTTAAATATTAGTACCCTTGGTAAGCGGAGCGAGGTACGTGTGTATTTTAACTTGTTGTTGATGTTGCGAAAAAATGATCATGTGTAATGCTAATTCAAGTAGTGTGGGAGATGTATCTTTGATTCGTGTATTGTAAGATTTATTGTGGCTTTATTTGTTTTAGTTTCACGGTGCGTGATGGAATAATGAAGATATATTGCACCGGTCGAACTTTACGCGGGTTTATTGATGCCGAGAGCTGCTACAGACAGTTTTACGAGAAGTGATGGCGGAACAAAAATGTGCTTGAATATTTTCAGAGTTCAGGAGCTCCGCAAGTGGCTGTGAGGCCAGCCGCCCGCTCACAGAGCCCTCTGCTCCCGCCGTCACACAGACCGCTGCAGCAACAACGGCAGAGGAAAACACAGCTGGAAGGTTTTCACACCGCTTATCTGTCTTTACATTCTGAGGATTTGAGAAACGTTTTAACTTAAAAAAGAGAAAAGCTGTGTGGATCGCTGGTATGTGTGTCACATTGTACATTACATCGCGGCAGTTGTGTGGTAGCATTTTTCAGCAAGGCAGCATAGATCGTCAGAACACCTGCAACAGTTCAACGTTTAGTCCTAAAAGACGATGCAACTCCGACTCTGTTTGGGCCTGGAAATCCACAATCACAACCTGTAAGTATGTTTTATTGGTTGTGAATTATATTTAAAATAAACACGGCAATGTAACTTCACAGACTGTTCAAGTGCAGAGTTGTTGTAAACGTTACCTGGGAACTGCGCATGTGCAACTCCCAACAAAGATTTTGTACAAGTAAGTACAACACACAGGGTGAAAAGAGGAGCTGCAGCAATGTGCAGTATGAGAAAAATATGGTGTTTTTTGAAAATTAAACCATGTAATCCTGTTATGGTACAATCCCTAATTAAGATTTTGAACCTGAAAATGAGCATAATACCACCTCTTTAATAAATGATTAAAAGACAACAGTTTGTTGTAACTCAATTATTTACTCAATACCTCACCAGCGATATATAATTTCCACGTTACATGATGTCATATTTATTTATTTTATATTGAACACATTAGGGCTACATGGGGAGTGTGGAGAAATAAATTAATAAAGATCTGACTCACCTTCCAGTAAATCCAGTAGAGAAGGCCTTGATGAGCCACTCGAGATCTTGTATCTTGAATGGAAACAGCACAAGATGAGTGTTGTTATCCAAGTCCACGGCACTCTCTGGATACATGACATGATGAGTTGTTCTGGTCCCGACATCTGCTTCAAAGCCTTTGGTAGGACCATGGTTAATTCTAAATAGAACAATGGGATGTTATCTTATATGCCACTATCATTGACAAAAATACACTACATTAGGGTACTGCTGGAATTTTAACACTGAGGAAAAAATGTTTATGTTTATCCAAGCAGCAACCTCCAGGACAGAAAAATGCAGTTCCTCAAATGGACACTTGAGGCCGGCTGTAGCCTGGTTTTGGTATCTAATTTCCCAGTTCATGACAACTGTGAGAGAGTGAAATTTTATATAACTCACCTATTTAAATAATATTAAGGCTTACAGTTATGCACTATTAAGAGCTTCACAATCCTTAGCTGAAAGATTTACCTTATGATGACATCATGTAAATCTATGAGAGGTCCATATCGTGATCGCTTCAAATTACCAGAATTCCCCACCACAGCGCAACTCCTGCAGAGGTCAGGGCTGGGTTTTATGACATCTGGACTGGATGGGAACATCTCAAACAGCCTGTCCACTGTTTTTTTATAGGTACTAAAGTTGCGGCTTTCAGCCTGTAAGCGCTGACACACAAACCAAACATACATTTCTGTTATACTACTTGTGAAATGTATTGCTTAAGTAGTTGTTTAACTAAAACAAATGTTGGGCAGAAGTGATGATGAATTTGTGATATAATTGTGTTTCACTTCCTGATCCTGATCTGATAACTGCAGGCTGAGAGACTGTTCCAGCAACTTACCTTCCACCAGTTGAAAGCATCCTCTGAGAGATTGTATTGCGCTGACAAAAATGGTTCAACAGATGTGTTGAAACGCGGCATAGACCACAGATCATCTTCTGATAAGCATTTGTCACAAGCACAGGGGTTTGTGTCCTGGAGCTGGTTGAAGTATTCTGAAAACCCTCTTGAAACATTTCCTCTCAACACACAGATGCCAGTCACACACAGCAGGACAACAAACATCCTCACTTTTGCCTTCATCTTGGCTGTGTGAACCTTGTGATTCCACTCTGTAGACAAAGAGTGTGGTGAAATATGTAAACTGTCGTATTGTTTATTTTAGGCTATAACCAGCAACAGCAAATAAAGCAGATTGGTACATTATGTCACATCATTTTAATATCAGGCAAACACAGCTGCTAGTCATTATGAAATGATCACAGTATGTGTTATTTCTTTCATGAGGACTTGTTGAGGATTGAGAATGAATGCAAAAACATTAAATAACTTGTTATCATTAATATTAATAATTTTACATAAAGTCTAAATTCTTTTTTTCAGTTGATTTCTGTTATTATTTCCATTCATTTCATGAGCCAAAATATAGCATACCTAAAATCTATGACAATTATGTTGTCCATTAAATGAACCAACAAAGCTGAATCCGTTCAAACGTAGCCTGTTGATTTTATTTTTGTCTTTCCTGATCAGAGAATAATCCATCTCTACTACAGTTCAATTTAGTAAACATAGCCTATATTTACATCAGAGCATCTGAGGTTGATGATAAAGAACTAGTGGAATGCCTGCTGCTCCACTTTAGTACAAAGAAGTCTTCTGAGAGTAGGACTGGCACGTCTCTGGCAAAGGAGTTTGACCAAAGGCATTCAAAGATGCATACAGACGTTAATGACGAGATAGAACATTTCCAATCAGTGTATGGATCATTCTTTGATTTTTCTGTTTAAAAAAGGGGAAAAGAGAGAAAAATCTGGTTTTGTTTTGTGTGATATTTAGGCCTACGGTGGTCCAGATCATCTGGTGGTGTTCCCCCTGTGCGCGGCAGGTGTGTCACGCCTTTTCAGGACCACTTGTCGACTAACCAGGAAATAACATTCTGATTACACATTCTCACAGTCATCTTTTGAGAGGTTAGCCTTTACTTTGCTGGAACATTACTTTTTGTATTGGCAAAAAAGTTACATATTAGACCTCTTCACTACAAAAATATGCCCATGGATATAAAGAGAATGTGACTGGCATGCTCTGGAGACATTGAGGAAGAAGATGAGACAATCACATTGCCAAACCCTTCACCAATAAAACCTGAATGCACAATGTGAGTGAGTTGTGGCAGCCTATTGTAAATTGTAGCCAGACAATACAGAAATAGGCTACTGCTGCTTTTTCTACATTGTTTTATTTAGACCCACAAACACCAAACTCTTAACAAAAGCAGCACACCTGCTCTCACGGATCAGCCTACATGGTTCTATTTTTCCTGCCTGGGGCTGTGGTTCTGTTCTTTTCCCGGTTTCTGGTTTTGGAAGTCTTGGAAGGTATATATGTAAATCATTAGTTAATCAAACTCACTCTTTTCATCAGATGAAGCTCCTGGTAAAACAGCAGCGCCTGATCTGTCTCTCATGCAGTCCACGGAGTCCTAAAATGGAGTGTGAATTGAAAGATATAGCCCCTATAAAAAGGGAAATTGTCACGTGACCCGCTTTACTTGGAAGTCTTGTAAGCTTTTTTATGGCTTAATTACTTACATGTAAAACTAAGGTTACCTTCATACTGCAGGCCTAAGGCTACGTTACACTGCAATCTTTAATGCTTAATTCCAATATTGCCCAGATCCGATTTGTTTCGACTGAATGTAGCATTATTTTTTAAAATGTGGCCCACTCCAGTGTGAACTGATTGACAATATTTTCTCCCAATTCATTAAAAATAACTACAAATTTGTGTCCTTTTCATGTACAGCGTGTTTAATAGCTCTCTCTCTCTCGGAGTGTGAATGGCGGAGTGACAGGAGCGTGAAGTTGCAGAGTGTGGTGCAGTGAGTGAATAACATCTCTACATGCATGTTCATTTTCTCTTTTCTGCCCCAGCTCCCGTGGGGGAGCCATCGGCTCCGGAGACGGAACCTAACGGGGCTGTATTCCACTCTGGCCAGGCTCCTGAGGAGGGGGACCCCCCCCTGTTTGCTCTGGCAGTGATAGTCAGCAGGCTGATAGCGTTACAGAGACAGGGTCAAACAAAGAGCAGAATAAACAGACTGAGTGTCCCAACAGTTTGGAAAACACTGATAATCAAGAAAATGATGATGTGCTTGATAATCTGTCAGTGTGTGAGGACTTTGGTGAAAATGAAGAGTCTGATGATGACATGTTAAAACTATCACAAAAAGGAAACTTTCAGAACAGATCCATAGCCATGCAAAAGCCATCAAAATAACTACAGGCACAAAAGCTGGGACATCTTTAGAGGAGCCAGAGAGTGATTTCTCCCTGACCCAGCAGGACCAGCAGGATCGGTACTCTCCTGCTGATGTCAGGAAGTTCCTGCAGAAAACTAAAGGTGCCAGGCTTATGAAAGTGGATGACCAGTTTTCGGATCTGAAACTATTTGTTGAGTCAGCTAAGTCTCTGACAAAAAGATCAGGAAACTTTGAAGATGATGTACTAACAAACCAGGAAATCTATCGTTTAAAGAAACTGGTACTCAGAGTAAAAGCACAAATAGCTGATAATGTTTAAACAAAAAAAAAAACGTGCTTCTCTCTTTTCTTGTTTCCCCTTGTTCTCTTCTTTTTCTGCATGTGTGATTTCAACAGCGGCACTTTGAACCAAAATGGAGCTAGGGATGATGTTAAAAGAACTGCTTTTTTTAAGCTGATGGAGCTGAAGAAAATAGATGTGATGTTGATTCAGGAAACACACAGCAGTACAGATAATGAAAGTGTCTGGAGGAGAGGGTGTGATGGGGAAGTCATTCTGAGCCATAAGTCCAGCTGTAATGGAGGAGTGGGAATTGTGTTTTCCAAGAGCTTTGTACCTTCTTCCTATAAAGTAGAGGAAATTATTGAGGGTTGTTAATTGAAGGTTGAAGCTCAAAAATGTTAACCTGGTGTTTGTTCATGTTTATGCACCAACCAGTGGAGCAGACAGGTTAGCGGTGCTAAATGTTCTGTGTGACACCATCCAGAACTGTAATAGTGATGAGTATTTGTTTTAGGAGGGGATTTTAATTGTACTGAAAATCCAAAGCTTGACAGGAATAATCAAGAACCTCATCTTGCTTCATCACGCAGGTTCAGGCAGCTGACTGAAGCACATGAGTTGTCTGATGTGTGGAGGATTTTTTATAAAAGTCACAGACCGTATACCTGGAGTCACTGTAAAGACAATGTGTTATCTCTGGCCAGGCTGGATCGCCTGTACTCTTTTAAACACCGTGAACATTTTTAAAAGCTGTCACATTCACCCAGTGGGCTTCTCAGATCACTTTCTTGTTGTTTGCTCTGTTTTTATAAAGAATGTCCGTCTAAAAAGCTCTTATTGGCATTTTAACACGCCCCTGCTTCATGACAAGGCTTTTAGAGCAGCCTTTGAATATTTTTGGGTTAACCACAGAATTTGTAAACCCAATTTCACATGTGTTCAACAGTGGTGGGATTTTGGTAAATCTCAGATTAAACAGTTGTGTCAACAGTTCACTTGTAATGTCACTAGAGATGTAACCAGATCTATGAGGGAGCTGGAGGCTCAGGTGGTAGAACTGCAGGGTTTGGTAGATTCTACAGGAGATCGAGGGCTTTTAGACTCCCTTAAATCTAAAAAGTCGGCTCTGTCCAACCTGCTGGGCACTGCAGCACAGGGAGCTCTGGTCAGATCAAGCTTCCTTGACGTCACACAGATGGACACCCCCTCTCAGTTCTTTTTTGGTCTGGAGAGGAAAAATGGACAGAGAAAAATTGGTCTGGTGTGGAAAAAAGGAGGACTGAAATATCTGGGAGTTTTTCTGGGCACTGAAATGTTTGTGCAGAAAAACTGGGACAATGCCTTGGAAAAGGTTAAAGGTCGGCTCATGAAATGGCTCTTACCTAAAATGTCCTACAGAGGTCGCACTCTTGTGATCAATAATCTGGTTGGCTTGCATTGATCCCCCAGCTTCTCTTCTGGTACAGATCCAGAGGGTTTTAGATGATTTCTTCTGGGACAGGTTGCATTGGGTACCTCAGAGTGTCCTGTTCCTTCCTAAGGAGGAGGGTGGACAGGGTCTAGTCCATCTGGCCAGCAGAGGCGCTGCCTTCCGTCTTCAGTTCATTCAGAGACTGCTCACTGGGCCGACAGACCTGGTCTGGAGACCTTTATCCTGCTGCATCCTGCAGCGGTTTGGTGGTCTACGGATGAATCTATCTTTGTTTTTGACTGTAAGGAGTTGAGCACATCATCTCTACCAGCTTTTTACAGGAGTGTTTTCTCAGTGTGGACTTTGCTGAGGAAGCAGAGGCAGCAGCAGGCTGACTCTCTGTACTGGCTCCTATAAGAGCCTGTGCTGTTTGGAGGACTCTTGGATTGCCCTAGCTGGGGGGGACCCACGCTATCCAGACGTCTTCACACTGCAGGGGTTTCTACTCTGGGGAAGGTGGTGGAGCTGGCTGGGCCTCGGTTGGACGACCCTGTTGGATTAGCTGATCGGCTTGGATTAAGGTCTACACGAGTCACAAGTCAGCTACTGAAACACTGGAAAGAGAAGCTGACGGAGCATGATTGCTCTCTTTTGGTGGACTTTTCTGTTGGAACACTGCTGCCAAATTGCACTGATCTCTATCCTGCCATTATGCTTTTTCCTAGTTTTAAGAACTGTTCAGGTTTTCTACTTGAACCTGTGGACCCTGTAGTCGCTTCTTTGGGGGACGCCTCAGGAAAGACTCTCTATAAAATGATGGTGAAAACTTCAGAGAACACTGAGTGGACGTAGTGACACCCCATGGAGGGTCAAATACATTGATTCACTGTGTTACAGCCGCCGTTTTGGCCGCTAGTAAAAGTTCAAACTTCAAAGCGCGGGATACTTCCTGTCTGCTCAGAGGCATTGCGAGGCTACCCAGCCGACCAATCACAGAGCTTACGGTCTGTGTCGACTCGACATGTTGTTACATTCTGGAGGAGTTGCACGTCAGGCGACAGTGTAGCCCCGTAGCCTACGTTGTCACCTACGCCGTCGATTTGACGCAGAAGTATAAATTGCACTTTAGACTGTGACACAATAATGGCAGCAGCTACTTACAGCTGTGGAAATAACGCCTCTCTCCCTCGTTCTCCATTCTGCATTTTGTGTTTGGCTATCAGCGGAAATGAACAACAAAGTCCAGTACCGCTGAGCTGTCTCACAGTCGTGGCTTTACGTCAAGGATGGTGCATTCAGTAACGAGTAACGCAGCGTTACTTGCCTTAGTGACTAGTAATAATATCACTGTTTTAGAAAAGTAATTAGTTACACAACTAGTTACTGGGAAAAGTAATATTATTACGCGTTACTGCCTAACACTGCTTAAGAGTACACTATACATATCCACATTTATATCAGGGTCCGTCATACAGTTCACACAATGGGCACGCCACTGATGACCTCAGGCAAGCCATCCTACTTCTGACAGCATATGCAGCGAAGAGCGAGAGCAGTCACCCTGCCCAGATTTGAACACAGGTCTACAGAGTACCAAACATACAACTTTGAGAGCCAGGCTCATTGGTCTGTCAGTCCAAGCACATACTCAAACTTAGTGATGGTTCTCCATCCAAACATACAGTACAGCCAAACATTGGTGGAACCAAACACTGAATCTGAAAAATGTCGGTCGGAGGGTCGGTTTTCTTTGAGTAGTGCTTGTTGCATTTTCTGCGAATGAGGGCTTGCACAGCAGACTCTGCGGTATTTGGAAACTGCCTTATCACAGCATCTGTAAAAGGGGAAAAATTATTTTGTTTATATAAAAGCAAAATTAACCTCTAATTAACTAACTACCACTGTTTATTTTGTTCAAAGTTGCTGAAACCCAAAATGACATCACGTCTCACTGTTCTAATAATGCTAACCGTTTACGTTCAGGTGAAATGTTTTTCCACAAGGAAACCCAACCATTTAATGCTCAGTTCTTCCATTACAACATGATCAGAAACACTACTATACATTCAGCCAATGAGCTGTATATGATAAAATGTTATTAAACAAGAACAGCAAAACAAAACATTAAGACCTGCTTAACAGCTGTGCTCTCTACATGTCATTTCACATTAACACAGCAGTCAATTTGTACCTTACCACAAAGAAGGATGATTTGGAATCGAAGTGGCTGAGCTCGTAGTGACTTTAACTAAAGGTGACTTTGGTTTAAAATGACTGTAAACCGGATGTTCTCCCGAAACGACTGTGAGCCGGATGTTAGCTCGAAATGACTGTGAGCCGGATGTTAGCTCGAAACGACTGTGAGCTCGAAACAACTGTGAGCCGGGGGAAGCCTGCTTCAACCCGTGGGAGGAGCTCGCGAGGCCGGCCAGCCGCCCGCTCACAGAGCCCTCTGGCCCCACTGTCACAGAGACCGCTGCAGCAACAACGGCAGAGGAAAACACAGCTGGAAGGTTTTCATACCGCTTATTTGTCTTTACATTCTAGTAAAGACTAGTAATGTTGAAACGTTTTAACTTAAATCAAGAGACAGCTGTATTGTTATATTTATGTAAATGCTGGCGATGATGTGGTTGATGTGGTCCCGCTCCTGAAACTCTAATTAAACTAATTTGCACCACTTAAAGGTAGTTCAAGAGGTAAAAAGGACTGGATTGGTTGGTACACAGCAAGTTAAATAATGTAGAGTCATAAGGATATTTGCAAAAGAGATCATGTCTTTATTTTATATATAACTAAGCAGTTACTCATGTTAATTATAGGCTACAGTCCATTTTCCAAATATAAACAAGGATATTAGACATATACGCCTGCCACATAATCCATCAGCAACAACAGGCTTGTTGTCTATGATCATGTAAAGGTCCGGCCTGATTACGCTATAAACTGCATAACAGTTATTTGCCCACAATTGTGGTTGTACAGAGAGTTTACATTACTTTACGGCATAAACCCTGTATGTTCTGCTGTCCAGTCTTTCTGGCCACATAAAATCCATAGCCTACAGTCTAGTGAAAATGTGATGTCAGGTCCGTTAACTGCACCTTATACAGTCTATGAAACATTTATAAACGGGGACAGTGGTCATCTTATGTGCATGTGTTCACTCGCACAGATTTCACTCTTGAAATGGCGTAACAGGTCGCGGTGGATATTTTACAAGCACGGACCAGGTAACGTTAAATCAGCATTGAACACACAGGGTGCAGATGTTGGTTTCGGGTTGTTTGATAGGCTGCGTCATTAACAAACAAGCAGCTCACCTGCTGCCGTGATAACGGATCGCGGAAATGTCTTTATTTACATAAAAAGGAAACACAAAATTCAGCTGGCAGGTGACCATTCAAAATATAAAAACATAATGCAGTAATCAGCATCTTCTTCTTTTAGCTTAAGTTACTTTTTTTGGACAATGCACATTTCTTCTTTCTATGTTTACATTGCATGTTTTCTTATTGTGTAAATAAACCTTTCTTAAAACATTTTTTATTGCAAGCAACAGTTTTTAACAAATGCTTTTAAAAAGTGTTGGTCTAAGCAAAGAGGTTGAAGGTGTGTCAATTTTGTGTGAAAATGGTGCACTTTTTTAGTCAATATGGATAATAGATAAGAAGTCAGTGATATGGTGCTCATAGAAAATACCTATCATATTTGTAACTTGACCCTGAGGCTGTAGTCCTACAGTCTGACAGTCAGTCTGTCAATGTAGTAAGTATTACCTGAAGGACATCCGCAGGTGAACAGTTCCTGCTGTGCTAATTGATAAGTGTTTTACAAACTGTCAGATGTCTGAACTGCAAAAATTTAACAAAATCAAATACCAATAAAAAACTTGGACTTAGATATGGAGATAAAAAGAGGCCTACTGAGGAAACTGGAAATCCAGCAACTACAAAAAGAAGTGATCACTGCAATGCACACTGTAAGCATGACTGTAACACAATGTATTAATCATTGTTTTCTCTCCCAAGTTCGCAGCAGATGATCCCAGGGAGAAAAAAAAAAGTCAAAAATCATTGTGGTGTCCTCCCCCTTTTGTTTCATGAATAAACAGCGCACAAAATAGCCTCCTCATTGAAGTGGGACTATAATTTGGGGGTATTATACAATTATGAAACCTAATGAAAAAAAAATTATATATATATATATATATATATATATATATATAGCATATTATATATATATATATATATATATATATATATATATATATATATATATATATATATATAGCATATTATATATATATATAGCATATTATATATATATATATATATATAGCATATTATATATATATAGCATATTATATATACTGTATATATGTGTGTATATGAAAAAAAAATATATATATTTTTTCCATATACACACATATATACAGTATATATAATATGCTATCTCCTATATGGTGTGTGTCCCATACATTTCTTGAAACCTTCATCCATTTTCTCGTAACTTTAAACACAAAACCTAATCTTTACACTACATTCACAAAACCCCTGACTCAAAAATCAAACAACTGTCTCAAATCCATGTGATCTATATGCTTAAAATCAAGTAATGCTTTCAAAGCATAAACACAGCCAGTCAATAGGTAAAACACTACAGAGCGTTCTTTAAACACTACATCAAAAATTAAGAACACAGCGTTCAGGGCATGTAGTTACAAAAAAATGTAGGAATCATCTTTTCCAATTTAAAAAAATATACTGATCAGAACTTATTACAGTAAATATATAGTATACTGTAAGTACTGCAAGTAATACAGTACTGAATATCTGTATAATCAAGCACTTGCATAAAAATAATACTTTAAATGAAAAGCCTACACATTTACACTCAAAAATGTTGTGCAGCCGCAAAATCAAAGTTTGCGCTGGGTCCGGCCAGAGGACTTGATCTACATCACATGCAGACTTACTGTAACAATTCCATTGCATGCAAGAGATTTCCCTAGTAAATGAATTTCGGTCATACATCTTCCACCACCAGGCAAAGAAATATTCCTTTATTGGATAGAAGTAAGGGCTGTATGGTTGAAGGTAAACATTTGTGAATTACTGGTTGCTAGTTGATGTTAAGCCACTTGCTTAGCAGGACACCACAGTGAAAGCTGACATTGCCCCGAAGTTGAATGAAAGTAGAGAACTTGTCCCTAATTACAGAGTTACAACCAACCGTTGTCTTTGAAGAATTTATTTAACAAAATACATAGACAGCTGGTCCAGAGACCTGCCGCCTAGGGTGGCTTGGGGCGTTTGGCCCCGAGCAAAGGGATGCATCATCATTTACACAGTCTAGGTTTCTATGTTTTGGGGAACAGAGATCCTCTCTCTGCCTTGAATGAACATTCCAGGAGAAGAGAGGAACAACAAGAGAGGAAAACACCAAAACAATCTCACAGCTCTGACCTAAACCCTAGTAAATGTGGACAGACTAACACAAGGAGTTTAGGAGAGGAAAGGTTAAGGATAAAAACACAATACATATATCTAATAAGCCATATACAGAATAGTAGATAATAATGATAATATTAAAAGATCATGACAGGACACAATTTTCTGCCATAACATGCAGAATTATGAGTTGTGTGTAAAAGATGACAGCTGTGTTGTAGCTGTGTTTAACTTTTGCTGCATGTATTTACCATTTTGCAACACAAGTGCATCACAGTGCAAAATGTGTTTCAGTGAGTGAGAATTTGCAATATTTAGACTTTTGCAAAAAGAGTGGATGAGATTTGCAAAGAGTGTCTTAACTACCTGAGCTCGACAAATGGATTTAGGCCACTGAGCACTGGGTTCACAGATTGGGGTTTATTTAGCAATTGTGAAAAACTGTAATAACAATGAGTAACATCTGATTGTTAACACTTCTCAGAAGAAACCTACATAAATACAAACTTTGATAACTTGACTTTTTTCAGTCATTTGCATCCACTTGTTAATCATTAGTGTGTTACAGCAACACTAGTGACATTCACAAGGAAATAACAATTTCATAATTGACTCACCTCGTCACAAATGTGGAGGGCAAGAATCAAAGCCATAAAGCCAGTGGATGGATAACTGCCCTTCTTTTGCAGCCACGTCTCATAAACATACCTCATGAAAGCTGGATTGATCACCATGAATCAGAATTAGCCTTTACACATTTCTTAGAGCCGCTGCCTTTGTAGCCAATACAATGTGTTGTTGAATGCTTTCAAAATAATACTCACCAAATCCTTGTTAGCTTTGATATTTGACTTAACTGGCACATATGACCTGTTGAAAATACCATGAAGTATCAAACTTAACATCAAAGGAAACTGCTTTGTATGTATTTATCAGTAAAATGATATACTAGGCACTCCAAAAGAAAACTACAGCAGAGATGATTCTTAACATTATTATATGTTCCATTTCTGAACTTTTCAAACTGTTTAAACAATGAAATTGCTAGCAGGTAAATGGATGAGCCCCATTCATTCTCACAGGTTTTAGGCGCCTCCTCTCCTGCTCCTACTTGCACACATGTTTGCTGGTTCCTAAGAGCTCAAACTGGCAGGGAAGCCTGTCCTTAACACACCCTGGATGGAAGATTAGCTGTTTCTCATATCTCAGTGTCTGCACTGCTGTCCTGTAGAGCTGTATATTGTGTTTAGGCTACATCCTAGATGGTATGTTGCAGGTTAATGGTGCTGGGATGTGTTACTTTCCTTCTACTGGACCTGTATTGAGCACGGGGAATTAAGCCAACTACACTGTTTGTCTGACACAGGACATGAAGTCCAGTCTCTTGCATGACAGTCAGTCATTACTTTTTGCCTTCCCTACACAAAGGGAAAACTACCTCTTGTACTGGCACTGACTGTTTGTATTGGATGTAAATTGTGTGCTGCAGGATTAATTGCAGCATGAATGTAAATTCCTAAGTGACAGGCACAAGTTGTGGTGAATTCCTTACTGGTGATAATTATAATCCTCATCATTGTGAGCTACGTACTAAAGTCGAGTGGCCATCTCTCACGGTAAGGTGTGGTTGGCACTAGGTTTTATTTATTTATAAGGCTCTTACTGAGTCTTTACTCCCTTACATTACTCCATTGCTGTCTCTTAATGTGGGCCCTTCTCGAACACACTCAAATGATTTGATCACATTTTTGCATTCAACTTTAATAGCTTTACTTATTCTTAAGGTTTTATCATTTTAAGTATACTGACTTCTAATTTTTAGAAGATTTAAAAAAAATTTTTATTGCCACATATCTAAGTTTATTATTTGTGTTTCATGTTGCCTAGGATCTTTGGTTGTTGTGGCTATATTTCACATAACTGACTTTCTCACTTGACAGCCAAATAATATTGTCATTGTGGAAAAAGGGCAAATTTGACAATAAAAAATTTAAAATGTCTTGGAAAATTTCTATTTTCATGCTTATACAATATATCCTGTCAGTATTTATTGATATAATTATTTATGTTGTAATGTTTATGTATTTAATATTGAACTCATTATGTCTACATACTAAGGAGTGTGGAGAAATAAATTAATAAAGATCTGACTCACCTTCCAGTAAATCCAGTAGAGAAGGCCTTGATGAGCCACTCGAGATCTTGTATCTTGAATGGAAACAGCACAAGATGAGTGTTGTTATCCAAGTCCACGGCACTCTCTGGATACATGACATGATGAGTTGTTCTGGTCCCGACATCTGCTTCAAAGCCTTTGGTAGGACCATGGTTAATTCTAAATAGAACAATGGGATGTTATCTTATATGCCACTATCACTGACAAAAATACACTACATTAGGGTACTGCTGGAATTTTAACACTGAGGAAAAAACGTTTATGTTTATCCAAGCAGCAACCTCCAGGACAGAAAAATGCAGTTCCTCAAATGGACACTTGAGGCCGGCTGTAGCCTGGTTTTGGTATCTAATTTCCCAGTTCATGACAACTGTGAGAGAGTGAAATTTTATATAACTCACCTATTTAAATAATATTAGGGCTTACAGTTATGCACTATTAAGAGCTTCACAATCCTTAGCTGAAAGATTTACCTTATGATGACATCATGTAAATCTATGAGAGGTCCATATCGTGATCGCTTCAATTTACCAGAATTCCCCACCACAGCGCAACTCCTGCAGAGGTCAGGGCTGGGTTTTATGACATCTGGACTGGATGGGAACATCTCAAACAGCCTGTCCACTGTTTTTTTATAGGTACTAAAGTTGCGGCTTTCAGCCTGTAAGCGCTGACACACAAACCAAACATACATTTCTGTTATACTACTTGTGAAATGTATTGCTTAAGTAGTTGTTTAACTAAAACAAATGTTGCATTTTTGATATAATTGTGTTTCACTTCCTGATCCTGATCTGATAACTGCAGGTTGTGCTTCATGTGTTGGTGTTCCCGTTCGTGAGGCAGGTGTGCCTTTATCACATTCCAAAGAAATCGCTCCCTTGAAGGTGGAAAAAAAGGCGTTATTCTCCGCTGCCCAACCAGAAAGCAAGTGATGCACTGTTACTTTGAGTTTGTTACTTTTGCGTTGCCAGAATGCTGGATGGTTGTTCTGCTTTCGGGTGCACTAATCGAGGCGGTTTTTAACGGTAGAAACGCGGCAGAATCAGCTTTATAAAGCCAGGTACGTGTTTCAAATGACCTGGCGACGCCCATGGCTCAGACTCCGCAAAGCAGTTAAATTTTAGTTGAACAGCTGCACATAGGGCCTAATACTTAGGCCTATTTATTCCAGCATTCTTTGCACTCATCACACTGTGTACATGTAAATGCAAATGCTCCGTAATGATCCTTTCTAGTCTTTTCGACCACTCAAAGCTCGGCTTTTGCACTACATCTGCATTCACCAGTCATACACATTCATACACTGAGCCTAAGTGCTCAAACGGAAACTAACATTCACACACTGGCGGAAAAGCCTCCAGGCCGCCGACCTTCCGATTAACGGCCAACCTGCTCTACCTCCTGAGCCACATGCTTGTACTGTATGTGTATGTGCACCTGTGTATCACATCCACCTCCGACATGTAGGCCTACATAATAAAAGGAATAATGTTTTGACTGTAGCCCCGAATGTAACTCAACAACAGCAAAAAATATATATATATTTTCCCCTTCTCATTCAGGGGAATCCATTTAATTACACATTTCCTGACGGCTATTTCAGAACCTTTGAAATAGCCGTCGGGAAATGTGTGATTGGATTCCCCTGAATCTCTCCATAACAACTTTGTTGAAGCGAATGATTAAAAAACAAACAGAAGAAGAATAACTACTTTGCAGAGAAGAGTGGTTGAACCTGCAACACCTGGAATGCGAGTCATGCACTCTACCAACTGAACTACCAACTGACAGCAAACTGCTATGAAATGATCTTAAAGAAAGGCACCTAGGTATTCAGCTTGGTTTGTTATCTCGAGATCAGGAGAAAATTATCCCGTTATCAGGAGAAAACAACAGCCGTTATCTCCAGATCATGAGGTAATTATCCCGTTATCACGGGAAAATGGAGTAAAAAAAAAATGCGAATGAATGGCCGCTTAGGGCTTATGTAGAAACTGTCTGTATACACCAATACATATCAAAAAGTTAGGTGCTCTTTAGTCCTCTCTGCAATAAACACAGCCACTCATTCCATTCGGGCCGAATGCAAGCTGAGCCAGGGAGAGGTCTACTCAAAGCTGAAGATGAGGGATTTGAGTTTTATGCAAACAAACACTGCTCTATTTTATGGGACTGTGTAAAATTGTAGTTTTTGATTATATTGAACTATTTTAGCACTCTGACGGGCTGTACACATGACATGTTGGTAACAGCATATTGTAACTTAAGTTGGGTGTATTTGAACCATGCAACCATTATTACCCCAGATTTTTACTAACAAAATAAACTCAATCAGCAACAAAAAACTACTTCCTTAAGAGAGAAAGCAAGAATGTACCCCCCCCCAACCACTAGATGAAACCAGTAAATATTATAACATTGACGACTTTGCACATTAACTTAATTTATATGAAGTCTCTCACATCAAAGGCATGCGTCTTATGCACTGCCCCATCACCACCCCCACTGTCACTGTGGCAGCTCTAACATGCAGAACAATGTACATGTTATGAGTCTAACAAGAAATTCATGTTTGTGTAGTGTAACTGATGGAAACGGGAAAATGTGTATCAGCCTGTTTTTAGCTTTGCCCAATGTTACCGCAGCTGTTAGCACAGCTACTTGTTGCTAACAGTTAGCTAGCCAGCTCCTTACTGAATCAAAGTCAGTGTTTTTAAAGCTATCCAATAATAACATGCTTGATAGTGAGTAGGCTACTAACAGCCGGGTTAGTTGTTTATTTTCATAATGATAAAGTTAGGTGTTTTCTTACCTGTGATCAGGGGCGATTTTAGACCATTTTTAGGGTTGCTGAAGCACCCCTAAAAACTGGATTTATTATATACTGAAAGTATTTTACATGTATTTATATATAGGCATAAATAATATTTATATATTATAAACAACAGTTTGCAATATGTTTTCACTTAAAGCCAACATCCTTCTGTAAGCGAGGAATCTCTGTATGTCTTTATGTATTTAGCTGTTAAGGTCAGTGGAGATGATGCAGAGGTACAGGGTGATGATGACCCCAGTCATGTTGATGAGGAGGGAGAGAAGAAAAAGAAGGAGGTGCTGCAGGAGCCGCAGGAGGAGGAGGAGGAGGACAATGGAACCAGAAAAAACAGCGACAGGGACAGTGCGCAGGGCTGAGTAGGCAATCATATGATAACATGGTTAAGGATGCGAGAACACACTATTTTTCTGAACTCATTACTACTCATAAACACAATCCCAGGTTTCTGTTTAAGACTGTGGATCAGCTGGTAAACCCAACCCCTCCTTGTGCCTCAGCTGGAAGTAATGATGACTGAATTGTTTTTATTTTATTTTACCAATAAGGTGGTGTCAATCAGAGCCTCTATTACCCCCACTACCTCTTACTCAGAGGTCCCTCACCAGCAACAAGAGAGTTTTAACCAGTTTTATCCCATCGACTTGTCTGAGCTTTTAAAAACAGTATCACAAATGAGAGTGTCCTCCAGCCCACTTGATGTAATACCTACAAAGTTTTTACTGAAAGTAATGGATTCTGTTGGGCCCCATTTGATCTCTGTTTTCAACAGCTCCCTATCTACTGGTTGTGTCCCTGATTATTTCAAAACGGCTTGCGTGAACCCACTTTTAAAGAAACCTGGTTTAGATCCCTCCCTCCCACATCATTTTAGACCAATTTCAAAACTGCCTTTTATTGCAAAGAGTCTAGAAAGAATTGTGTCCAAACAGCTGCTCACTGTGCTGGAAAATAACAAAATATTTGAAAAGTTTCAGTCTGGTTTTAGGAAGTACCACAGCACTGAGACTGCCCTGATTAAAGTCACCAATGACCTTTTAATGTCTGCTGATGAAGGCATGTGCTCAGTCCTGGTACTCCTGGACCTTAGCGCTGCTTTTGACACCATTGATCACAACATCATGTTAGACAGACTGAGGCACTAGAATTGACTTTAAAACTTTATTGATCACTTTTAAAGCTCTTCATGGCCTCTCGCCTTGTTACATTTCTGACCTTTTAGTCCCATACGCACCAGCACGTACCTTGAGATCCTCGGGCAGAGGTCTGTTGTCTGTTCCAGAGTCTCGACTGAAAACTAAAGGGGACAGAGCGTTTGCTGTCAGGGCCCCGAGGCTCTGGAACAGCCTGCCCGAGGAAATCAGGTCGACTGAGTCAGTGAACTCAGTCCCTTCTTAAAACATACTTTTATAGGAGAGCCTTTCCCGATCTTATTTGACTTTATTTTATCCGTTTTATTTTATTCTATTTTACTTATTTTATATTTATCTTAAACATGTATTTTAGTCTTTTCAATGTTTTCTTGCTTTTATCTTGTATTGTTTTTGTATTATTGTCTTTACACTTGTAAAAGCACTTTGTAACTGGTTTTTGAAAAGTGCTCTACATATTATTATTATATGTAGAGATAGAATTAGAGAATAGATTATCATTTGTCATATTTATAACTGAAGTTCTTCTCATGCATATGTAGCTGTACAAGCAGAGTCCAGCACAGGAGAAGCTGAGCCAGGGAGAGGTCTACTCAAAGCTGAAAATGAGGGATTTGAGTTTTATGCACACACACTGCTCTATTTTATGGGACTGTGTTGTAGTTTTTGATTATATTTAATTATTTTAGCACTCTGACGGGCTGTACACACGACATGTTGGTAGCAGCATATTGTAACTTAAGTTGGGCGTATTTGAAATGTTTGCTACGTTCCCTAGCTGTGAAATTAGTTTTAATTTAATGTTCGATTGTTATAGTAATAAAAAATAACTTATACTCCACAGATTCCATGCAACTATTATTACCCCAGATGTTTACTAACAAAATTACCTCAATCAGCAACAAAAACGAACTAGAACGCAAGAATGCAACCAGTGCTTGAAATGGAAAAAAATAGGTGCCAGTACTTCCCCCCCCCCCCAACCATGAGATGAAACTAGTAAATATTATAACATTGACGACTTTGCGCATTAACTACTTAATTTCCTGCAATCTGAACACATTTTCTGCACCACTTTATGGAGGAAATGTCTTAATTCATATGAAGTCTCTCACATCAAAGGCATGCGTCTTATGCACTGCCCCATCACCACCCCCACTGTCACTGTGGCAGCTCTAACATGCAGAACAACATACATGTTATGAGTCTAACAAGAAATTCATGTTTGTGTAGTGTAACTGATGGAAACGGGAAAATGTGTATCAGCCTGTTTTTAGCTTTGCCCAATGTTACCGCAGCTGTTAATGACGTAGAGCAACGGCAGAAACACTGTAATTCTGGTAGCTGCATAGCTGCACAAACAACAAGTTTCTTGGCTTAGTGTGTTTGTCTGACTTGGATTGTCACTGTTTAATCAGCCTACGAGGCTCACCTGCAAAACACCAACACAGCGTCACTGATGGCCGAATAGTTGTTGCCGGTTAGCGATGCTAGGGTGATACAGCCGCTATCAGCTCGTGTAGAGTGTGACCCCCTGTCACCGATCAGTCACGTAGCGTGAACGCCACAACGACTTCAAGACTCCCGTCACAAGACGGCAAGTTGTGTAGTCTGAACTTAGTGTGAGCCTTAAGATGGTGTGTGTGTGTGTGTGTGTGTGTGTAGTTTTTTATTTTGTGTCACAGG